CATCCTCTGAGATCAAACATTCCTTCTTTCATTACATTAGTTGCAGATTCGATGAATATTTCTAATTCGGCATTATTTTGTACACTAGTCACGCAATTATCGACATAAAAACTATCTTGTAATTTTTTAAGAAGAAATTCTTCAGAATATTTTTCTTTCCACGATTCTTTGGATAAATGATGGTGAATAACCGCCATCAGCAAAAATTGACTACAAGTAATGCCAAATACCACACGTATATGACGAAATGTCTTCACTCTACCATCATCACCATACCAAAGAAATCGTAAAAAATCTCGATCTCTTTCGTTTAGAAATATCTGTAAAAAAGCTCTTCTGATGTCTGAAATCACACCAATTTCATGTAAGCGAAATCTTGCTAGAATAGAAGGAATAGTTTCAATCAAATTAATTCCAGTCTCTAAGCAATCATTTAGAGATGGCTGATTAGGAAAGCTTTGCCGAAGCATCAAAAAACGGGTCTAATTTTCATGGAAGATAGTGAGGACGTTTCCTTAATGACTGGACGATGTGGGAGGTAATGAAACAACGGATAAAGACAACTCCTTTTGGGGAACTTCTTCAATAACTTCTTCCTGCAGCCATTCATTAAACACTTCATGATACTTTTCACGATATCCGATTTTTTCCAACTTCTTCGTAGTATATTCGAGTCTTTTCAAAGATAGGTCATAATTGCCAGGTAAGATTGCATGCTCAATCTTCCAAGGCATATCAACCTCGTATCTACCATTTTCTAATTGACGAACTGTTTCTTGGAAATGAACCATAATAGCTCTTCTTGACTCTTCTTCATTTTTTTTTCATTTAACAGGATCTCGGATACACAATAATTTTAAGTCCCACAACGATGAAATAGGCCGGTCTTCTTTAGATAACATAGAAACTATAATCATATTTACATTGTGCTGATGTTCGGATTGAAGTACTTTACCCATCAAAGTCCAACCCAATTTTGTTTCTATAGCCACTAAACCTGTTCTTAGTTCTTCTCATTTGCCAGTAAATAACTTTCCTGCAAAGTCTGCCCCTAACAGTACTTCAATAGGGCCTGGATTCCCTTGGGTATCAGTTAAGCGTATTCCTTTATTTCCTAATTCGCGAATCCAAGAACCGTATCTTATGCTTGAAATATCATTACAAATAACATCATGGTCTACAGCATCTAATTTACACGAATATTTACCATCAAGGCTACTCAAATAAATCTCGTAACATTTATGTTTATAAATTTCAGTTTTCGTTCCACCAAATAAAGAGTGACTAAATTCTTCCTCCCATTGCAAGTTAAAACCCATTTCTTCTGCGGTTGACTTTAAAACATAACTTTTTGAGCTTCCCGTATCAATTATTAATCTAACTTTACGCCTTTTATTCTTACCCTCTATGTTTACAACTAGGGTCTGAAGGAAAACTTCATTCGTAGCACGCGAATGCAAAGAATCGATTGTTTTCTCCTTTTTCTCATCATTTTCATGGTTATGCATTTCACTAGACTTATTATATTCAAGACTAGAACAAAAAAATTTGAAATGTCTTTTTGAACAGATCTGACACTTAACATTTGATCGACACTGGTTACTGAGGTGACCTTTAACCAAGCATATTCTGCATAAACCTTTCTTTTTTACCGCAGACATTTTTTCATCTAACGGAATATAAAACGCCTTTTTACAGTTACGCGTTTCATGATCTTTTAAACAAAACGAACAAGAAGGTATTGCTTCATGATTCATCAAATCCGACGCGGAAGGAATATTTTGGCTAGTTGCCAAGTGCTTACGATCAGACACAGAAAAAATATCCGCTCTGCTTAATTTTATTTTTTCTTCTGACTGAACTTCGCTTTTCAGAAATTCAATTATTGCATCAAGACTCGAAATGTATCGTTTTCAGATTCAGTAATTTTTCGTTGTCTTTCAAATGATCGCAATACATGAATAGAAATAGCACTTTCTACAAGAGGGTATAAAATTGTTCCACACTGATCAGTTGTCACACCGAGACTGCTCAGGGCTCTAAGTTGTGTTGAAAGTTTGTTATACAAAATACTCAAAGAATCCTGCTTCTTTTTCGCTTTTTTATCTTTATCAAAAACAAGTTTTATTAACTCTCGAACATAAAAATCAATTAAGAGTTCTTTACGGCCATATCTCTCAGTAAGGCTTTCTATAGCTAAAGGATAATTTTCGTTCGTCACAGGAAAAGATTCTACAATATCTCTAGCTTCTGATTTAATTTTTGTTGACTGTATCAAATAATGGAATTTGTCTGCATTCGTTAAGTTATTATTTTCATGTATGTTTTTAAACTGATTCCAGAACGTAAGCCAATTTTTTAAATCACCTGCGAACTTATAAAGTTCTACTTTTGGTAGGCGTTGGCACAAAGTTTTACATGTATTTTCATCAGTAACTAATTTCTGACTACTCTCTGACGATGTGTATTTTGGATTTCGTTTAATTTACTCTTAATATTATCGAGAAATCGTTCCGATTTTAACTGTATCCTAACAGCCTTTTCTCGATAGTCCTCTGTTATTTCAAATTCTGTTTCGAATTCTTTATCATCAGTTATAGTATCTAAATAAGCACTGTGCGTCAATTCTAATGTTTCTGCATTTTTCTTGAACAAATAAAAACACATTTATGCTTCTTCATAATCAACATTAACATCATTTAAAAGTTCATCTAGTCTTTTATATGCTTTAGTAAAAGCTGAACGTTGCGCAGTTTTGTTTCTTTTCATCACTTCCATTTTGTCTTAAGTTTAAAATATTCAGATAAAAATTAGGCAAGAATAGTATTTTAAACTTCAGTAAAACAATAATCAATAGAATTATAAATAAAATTGTTTTATTCCCCGTGCAGTGCAGCGCGTGACGAATATTAAAGAAAAACTAAGCCGGAAAATAAATTAATAATAATAAAAAAAAAACAAGAGCGCGTGCATTTAACATTTAATAAATAAATATCTCTTTTTGATTCCGAGAAAATACCAGAAAATTCTAGCGCATTTAACTTTCACCGTCCTCTCCTGTCCGCGAAAATTTACCCCCAGCGGCCGTCTGTTTTTCTGTTTTTTGTAGCTTGTAATGTTGTTTTCTCTGTACATCATAACTTTCCATACATGACTTTCGTAGTGCATTAATTTCAATGAATATTAAGTAAAATTATAAGGAAATAAAGCATAATGGAAAAATAATAATATCTCTGCTTATTTCTAGCAGCAGGATAATTTCATAACATCTGATCCAGGCGGTTCACTCCTCCCATTTTGTTGTTGTAATCTTTTACAATTATTGGTTTTTTAGTTCTTTTCCGTGTTCCAACATCAATCATCGATTTATTATGGACTGTACTCATTAAACGTACATCTTTCTTGTCTTTCCAATTCACAACCTCATTTTTTCTCTTTTTCTGAGTAGACGTTGAAGCCATCTCTCACTGTCTTGTATCTTATGTAAAATGGCGCGAATATTCATAAAACCCGGGGCAAATTCAATTAGAAATAGAATGCCTGATTAGGTTACCCTCTAGGAGGTATTAGAACAAACAAAAATAAAAGCTCAAACAAGTAAACATTTAGAAAGCGTTTTAAAATGTAGAAGAACGCTTGAGGCGCGCAGGAACTTTCTAAGGGAAACTGGCTCGTACGCATGGGAAAAACCATGAAAACGTCCATGCAGCCAGCCCGTTCGCGGGATTCGAACCTCGGACCGAACTACCAGTGTTTAGCAACGTTACCGCTCGGCCGCTGGTGGGCCCACTGAAGAAAGATGGCAAGAGTTATTTTTCAAACGGGGATGGTAAAGAATTCGTAATGTCGGTGGCATGGTGTTGTCGGACAGATTTAGACTATGCAACTGAATACGTTAAGTCTAAACAAGAGTAAATTAACTTAATGCGTCAGTTCCAACAACAAATTTTAAAGTTAGAAAACAGTTTATCCAGCTCAGAATTATTGAGAATAAATTAATGTTTTCAGTTCTTCAACACCTAAAATTTTTATAATACAAAATTCCTTTGATACTTCTTGAAGAATGTTAATAAGCATAATTTCTTTTTTACAATGAATTTCGAAATTTTCATAGCTACTTAGGCGCCCTTCTAGTTGTTCAGCTCCGTCAAGTGCCTCACACTTATTCCGGCTCTGCTGTTACTCCCAAACAACGATTATTACAAAAACTGGTAACTAAGTTTGGAAAAAAGTTATTCAAATCTGTATCTTTAAATCTTAGAATAAGATACTTATCACAGTGCAAATTAATTAACTTCATTTGTAGATTTTTAGGAAGTTACTCAAATTCGTTTTTAATGGTAATGAAAGTAATGTAAAATTAGACTCCTAATCATTAAACTTTTCTTAAAATCCTTCCCAGAACAATATAATTAAATTGCGGTAAATGCATTTCTGGACCGGAAAAGTTTTTCAGGGTATCTAGTTTTGAATGATAATAAGCAAGAGCAGTCGCACGCCATGCTAACAAGTAGAGATATTTTTCCCCACTCACATCTTGTCATTTAATTCCATTTCATCCTCAGCTGATTTCCTTTTTTTATTTCGAAGGAAATTAAAATTAAATAGTTTCAGTTGCTAATATGAATACAAATAGATAAGAATCAAATGCCAAACAATTTAGCGTTCATTGTTAAGTACAGTATGATCTCGTTATAAAACGAGTGGTTATGTTATAAATTAGTTTCTTGGTTCTTGTTACGGCATGCATACTATTTAAACCATGTTAAAAAAGGACATTCCTATGATGAAAAAAAAAAAGTCCGCAGCGAAAAACCTTTATCTAGATTAAGAAAAAAATACCATACCATAGTACTGAATGAATGCAATATTATTATCTTCTGTTTGAATGCAAACTGCTTGCTTACTTCGTAGAAATACAAGAAATTTATACAAGAGGAGATGAATTTCCTCTATAGAAGAAATGAATGAAACTAAGATTTGTAATATCAGTTTTTTTATTTCGCATAGTATTTAAAAACATTAGCAGTAAAGCATAGCCAGTTAAGCAAAAAAAGAAATCTGGGAATACTTTAGGTAACACATGCGTTACTCAAAATAGCAATATATCCAGCTGCGATACAACAGGGAAATTATATAGAATGCTATTACCTGCTATGTAGACATTTAATAAGTATAGCAGCTTAAATAGTCTAATTACATTCTCAATACACTAGCATATGTTTAATATTCACATTATATAGTTCGATAACGCAAGAAAATGTTTAATACGAAGAGCCATTCAACTGACAGTTGCAGTTGAACAACTTGCAGCTGAAATCTATAATTGGATCATAAAAGTCACCGATTTATGTGGCACAAAGTGTAGCTGGCAGACACTCATGTAGAGAGCTGTACTGTCAGCTACTATTAAGTCCTGTCCTACCAGAAGCAATCAAAAAATGAGCTGGTTTTACAGTTACTGTCAAAAATGTTTCGAAACAAGAAATGTCCATTTGTTTCTTTGTCGTCTAAATGATAATTAGCAAGAGCAGCTACAGGCCACGGTAATAGGTATAGATATTTTTTCCCACTCACATTTTTCTCTAATTTTCCTGGATGTACGATCTAACTTGGATTCCTTCTTTCTAAGTCCATAAACAACAGATCTGTCTTCTTTTCTGATGCGTTTCGTGCACCTCCAGCGCAAGAAATATAGATGTATTATTCCTTCAGGTATACACTTCATACCAAATGGGAGAGAGCATTTTCCATGGCGATCCAGGCAGTTTCCATTCCGGAACCATCGCGGCCAATAAGTGGGCCCTAAGCTCTTCCATTCAAAAGCAACTGGGCATGAACTTCTCTGCGTCAGCCAAGATTTTATCATGTTTTCGTAAGGCAAAAGATCTGGTTGCATATGTGCAAGTTCTTTCGTAAAATTGAAGTTTTTAAATAGCGTTAAATGTTTCTGCTTAGCCAAGATCTCCTCAGAGACATTTAAACTCACTTCACTCAATGGCACGGGTTTCCACGGTTTCTTTGGTTTTTTCGTTGACATCCATTCGGGCTGAAAATAAAAATTAAAAAAATTATAAAAATTATAAAACTACTAGACGACTCTGCACTAGAAATGAATTATTACATTAGAAACATCTAATAAGAATGAAATAAAGGCAAAGATGTTCATATTATAACATAAAGTAAAAGCATTTTAATTTATAAGTTAGATAGGTTACTAAACTAAGTGATCTTGACGGCTGGTTGAGGTGGTGCAGTAAGTTTAAGTAGATATTTTATATCTAAGGTCAATCAGTGCTCGGCAAGGGTTTTAGTTACTAGGAGATCGCTATTCACTATTGGTCAACCAATAGGTCACTGGAGTGAATTTATATAGATTTAGATAGATTAAATTAAAATTAGATCAAAACACACCAGCTGTGATCAAAGCAGTTGGTAACTTTTGATACTGTTCAGTACTACGGCTCAACAAATGGTTACCGGTGTGAGGTGGTCCGACACTGTTGTGATGGAGAACTCCAGACAAAAACGAGCAGTGGTGGAGATGCCCTAACACATTTGAGAGTTTCAATTGAGACGCGAACTGAACTTCATTGTGAAAAGAGCCGAATAACTTTGTCTTTCCCAAAGCAAGCGGTGATTGTTGCTTATGCATGTTTTGATAAACATTTACAGAGCAAAATTTAAAATTTATTTAAAAAATTTCTCATTTTTTTAAATCGTGTATTTGGCCCCCATAGAACCTGAGTTTGAAATCATTTCTCTACATGACAGAAAATTAAAACAGCATGAAAATCTCAAATTTATAACAGCAATCAATTAATGCATTTTTAAGCGTGCAAAGCCGTGATTAAATACCAATTGAAACTTTTCAAGTGAACCAAGATTAGTGATTTACTACAGTAAATCGCTATTTTTATTGAGCTTCAGTGTCATTCTCAAGTTATCGTATTTCACATTGCAAACATGATAAGAAATGTAAAATAAATAAATAAATAAAATAAAATAAAATAAAATAAAATAAAAAAAACCTTAAAGGGCTCAGATTTTAAAGATCGCCTAAAGAGGGTTTTTTAAAGTTTAATATGGTTTATCAGTACAGATTATCAATACAAATGGCCAGGCGGAATAGCGAAACGTTTAAAGGATACTAGATGAATATGCATTTGGGTTTAAATTGAGAACTTTCGGCATCTTTTGTACATTTGAAATGTGAAAAAAATATATAACTTTATTCTATAAAAATATTCAATGTTTTTAATTAGATATATCATGAATTAAATACACTTTTATTCGAATCAATCAAATTTAAAAGTTAAAGAATAATGTTCTAAGAACTGCAGCTCTTTAAACAGGTTAGGGTGTTAATCAATAACAGGCAGAATAAATCTGAAAGACTGAATAAATCTGAAATCTTTCATCTTGGCAACATACTTGGTTGAAAAGTGAAACAAAGCATTTACAGAGAATGACATTTAAAGAAAATCAATGCGAAATCACGTTTCGAGACTAATAGTTGTTTCGGGCTAAAAAAAAGTTGCCAGAAAAAATTTAGCCCAAATTCTTAGAACAAATAAAACTTCAATAGTAGAGACATTAGGTATTTTTTGGAGGCAGGCAAGATGAAAAATTAGCAGCGTCTTCGCCGGGAATCGAACCGCGGTCATCTGGAGTACGCGCCCAACGTGCAGACCACCACACCACGAAGGGATGCCAAGAAGGCGAGAGAAATACCTTATATACTCCCCCTTTTAAATGGCGACTGGAGTTTTTTTAGAGGGCCCAGTTGCCAAATCCTGGGTGAGGAGAATCATCATCCAACACTCTTTTTGTTCGTGCGCCATTGTAGAGACAGTAGGTTAATTGGAAGCAGGAGTCATGAAAAATTAGCAACGCCTTCGCCGGGAATCGAACCGTGGACCTCTGGAATACGCGCCCAACGTGCAGACTACCACACTACGAAGGCGTGCCAAGAAGGCGGGAGAAATACCTTATACAGTTTAAGCAAATATGATAAAAATTAAATAACACTAAAATATTATTAAAAACAACAAAGGTGATAATTGCCCTGTTTGGAGTATGATGAAGAGTAGCAACTTGCAGTTAACTCAACTGGATGAAGATGAAAAGCAGACATTTATCAGAATATGAAATAGTATTGGAACAACTTCAACAGGCTTAAAAAGTTAGTATAAGCAATGATATGAAAGACGCGGTTAACAGTGGTTAATTAGTTAGCTGGGATTCTTCTTTTAAAATGCAAGCTTTACTAAAGTGCTTGCATATCTGCACTGAACGTCGTATAGATTATATAAATATGAGGAGAATTTTTCAGTCTTTTTCGCATAAATAACATTAGCAAAAAAAAAAAAGAGACTATTTCTACTTTTTAAGTTCTTGTTGAAGTTAATTATACATTAAATTACGCAAATTAATGTATGAGGTATTTCTCCCACTTTCCTAGCGTCCTTCGTGGTGTAGTGGTTTTGCACGCTGGGCCGGTATTCTAGAGGTCCATGATTCGATTCTCGGCGAACGCGGTTGATAATTTTTCATCTTGCCTGCTTCCAAAAAATCCTAATGTCTCTACAAATGAAAAGTAAGCTTTTAAAATAAGTAAAAGTATTTTTTTAGATGCTCGTAGTAGTTTACTTTATTGCTGTTTTAAAATTTTAGAATAAAAAGGACATTTTCCTTGATATGAAAACTTATAGAAAAGTTCACATCTTTTATTCAAGTGAACATTATTTTAATTCGGATGTTAGTTGTCAATTTGCATAATATTTTTACTACCTTAATATATTATTATCTGCATTTATTATCTGAAGTTTGTTGATCTTTCCAATAATATTTCAGTGCCTTATAGATCATGTCCCGAAACAAGTGCAGAATGTTTTGGGATAGAAGTAAATGATACTTTTTAGTAATAATTCTTAGTTATTCAAATTAATTTTCCTAACTTAACGTAATTACACACATAATAAAAATATTAATTATCTACACTATCAGATAAGTACATTATTAGTAGTACTAGTAAAGTTATTGGTAAGGTTAGATTATTAGCAGTGTGAATAATGAATATTAGTAACGTTAATTTGATTAGTGTCAGTAGCATTAAGAAAGATTATTTCTAATATCAATGGGGTTTTAGTTAGATCAATAGAGTTAATAGTGTATGGATGTCCAGTAAAATTTCTTGATCTCCTGTGTTGTCAAATTTGTGTGAGGGCATGCATTACAATAGCGAATGTGAATCGTTTTCAGCCTCTCATTTGGTAAAGTTTTCCAAAGCTTTTGGAATCTCTCAGTTACTCCCATTTTGATCCCATTTGGAATCTACAAAGCCAAAGAGAATTTATACCTTTGTCTTCTCAAAGCCTAACCATCGAGTACTGATGTTTGGTTCTTGAATATTTTATCTCTTACAGAAGTATGTTGTTCTTTCGACTGGTTCTTCTTCTATGGATTATAAACGCATGATAATGTTCCATCCTCTTCATAAAATTAGAAAACACATCTTTATTGATTTCAATGCTCCCAATAAATCAGAGCAAATCACCTCTTTTTCTCTTTCATATCCACTATCAGCTATCGAGGTACCCACTTTAGAAACAAACCATCCGTTCACGATTAACATCTCTGATTTCAGCCGATGGCCTCCTACTTCGTAGTTTGTCTTCAATTCTGATGTAATTTTATAAGCAACAGAGGCGCTATTCGACTCGAAACTTACTTTTTGTCCGAATTACTTTTGTGTTCGAATCAACACTTTTCAAATTTTGTCACCAAATGTTATCGCGACAGTTTATTTTAGAAAAATTAAATAATAAAAGATCTATATTTATATATGTATGTATGTATGTATGTATGTATGTACGTATGTTCCTCAAATTATGAAAAAACGATATAACCGAGAGCCAATGAATTTTTTATACACTTTGGGTCACTTTAGCATTGCCTCCTTGGAGCCCGAATTTTAAATTTAAAATTTGCTTTTGATTTATTCCATAATTTATAGAAGTTTAACGAACTTTTGTTTAACAAACTTGAAGCAAGAAAGAGGAACACTATTCAAAACAAAACACTTTTATCTCCAGGACGCCAGGCTGTTGTCATTTGCAAAATGTAAGAAATTTATCTTTCAATTTCAATTCACAAATTCGGCTATTTAAAAGCAGTGTATTGCTATTTTCTCAAATAGAATACCTATTTATCTCCTGTCATTAGTATATTGCCATTAAGTAAAGCATAAGACTTTCGAATTTAATCTTTATGTTACTGAGTAGCAAACAAAGTGACAGAAAAGCAATAAACGCAGTTCTTAAAAATATTTTTTCTACTTTTTAATCCGACCTGATTTATTCTAACTGATTGATTTAAAAAGTACATTAAAACCTTCTTGGAGGATATCTAATCAGAAATATTAAATATTTTTATGAAATGAAATTAGTTGACCTCATTAAAAGCATTACATATTTTCTGTCGATTATAACTTTTTTTATGAGAACTATTATTGTAAGGCTATATAATACCATATAACATTTTGAGAAATATTATTACAACTTTTCATGGCAACTATTTTTCTTCGCTGAACAAGCAAACGACTAGTTTTTAAAGAAGTAAATTAGCAAATATAAAAAAGGCAATTCCTAACGCTCTAACAGGACTTGAAATTTATGTGGTGAAAAAACCGATTTTTAAGCGTGAGAAAGCTGTAGAAAAGCGATGCTTAATAATAAAGCGTAAAAGACACACACAACACACACAAAAAAAAGTAGTGAGTCCAAGAGCAGATTGGTAACCTATGATGCTCAGCGAGAGCATAAGAAAACTTTAAGAAATCCTCTGGTGCGAAGTTAAAATATTAATCCTTACATATTTTCTTTCTTTAAAAAAAAAAAAAAAAAATCTGATGTGTACACCACATGACTTCTTTGTACGGAATATTAAATTATACGCATTTTTCTTGCATTTCGTTTAAACTTATTGAATTGAATTAAATCTACTTCGCCGACAGCGCATAAACCACAATAGAATAAATGCATTCTTTAAAATTCACTCTATTTGTTTACCATAGCGACAATCTGGCGCTAGGTTCACTTAACAGTATTATATTCATATGATAACTCAGAATGCACAAAATTTATATCAGTTAAAGAATAAGTTAATGGCTGCCACATGTTCTATTCAAAAACTATAATAAAGCTAGAACGATGTATAAAAGAAATTAAGCAAACAAAACAAAAAAAGAAACAGTTTTTCACAGACGATTGAGTATTTCTTGTTCAATTAATTCAGTTCTCACTTAGCGACAAGGCAAAAATACATAAAAACTCAAAATATCTGTATCAAAAATTACGAAGTAAACCCTAAACACTTTCCTCGAAAACATTCCAGGAAGGATTAAGCATGATTTGATTCGCAATAATAAATGGAGGCGTTATCTTTGTTGTTGCGAAGCTACGTTTCTCTAGATTGGCAACAAATCCACTACTCTGCTGTTTCAAATGTAAACAGGCAATGGCCGCCATCAAAAAACATTAGTAGGCTTAGCGGCACTTAAACAATTTTAAAACTGTTGATAATTCTAAAAATATTGCATACAGATTTACTAAAGGCATAAAAACCTTAACCGGAAGATAAGAACAACATAATTCAATCATTTTTAAAGCAAAAAATGTACAATTTACAAAAATATAAGAGTAAAGAAACTGAGATCACTAAGCCGGGTAACAGAGTGGATATATATATAATATATTTTATATACGTTTGGGTGGCGGCCGATTGCAACCAAAATACGAGGTGCACATCTACATGTTATAGCAGTCCTATATACAAAATTTCAACGTTCTGAGGCTACTCGTTTTTGAGTTATGTGAGATACGTACGTACGTACATACGTTCGTACAGACGCCATGAAAAATTCTCTTCAGAATTCAATTTAAAGCAGTTTTATAATTTTTTTGGAGGAAAAGAGTGTTTTATTCTGTCCTTACATACATATATCACGGAAATACATCGTTAAATGGCATTTGAAAGAGGTCAAAATGGAATATTTGTGTTTAGATATGCTGCCTGAAACTTTTCGCGATTACAATACTTCCTTTTTAATTCGTACAAGGAAGTAAAATCTTAAATTTCGTCATCTATCTTTATCTGTCTATTGCTGTAATTAACAATAACTTTCTTCTGCATATCTTGTAGCCTTCCGCGAAAGCAGTTTGAACAGCCTTCTGCTCACGCTGCGCAAACTGCATCCAAGAACTCAGTGATGGCGCTTAATTAGTACTTCATTACCGTTAGTTACTTGCATTGAAGAAAATTATTATTACTTCTTTGCAAAGAGGAATAATTAATTTCCGCAGTTAAAGACTTTAATTGTTTTACTTAAGAAGTAACCTAGATTCTTACACCGCAGTATCAATAAATATGATACTACAGCCGCTCATCAGTCTTCTCTGATTATTGAAAATTCTATGGAAGTGGCACACTTAGATAGAAGTACATTACAGTAACATGCTCAGTGCTGGTAATCATCTACATTTATTTCATTCATTACCGCGTAAAAAGTCTACGTTAATATGAGAATCTAAGTCTGTTTAACCATGGTATCCGATTCCAGTGACTAGATGCTATCAGATGATTAACAAATTTGGAAACTATCATATATCAGTAAATTAATGAAGTCTATTCAATGAAAACTATCATATATTAGGAAATTAATGAAGTCTATTCAATGGAAACTATCATATATCAGTAAATTAATGAAGTCTATTCAATCTCTAACTTGCTAAAGGATATCACTTTTTAAGCCATATTGTCTGTCTAGCCATACATCTGTATATGAGTATATGATCAATAACGTTCAAAAAGTATATGCTCTGCCACAAAAAAATTATATGCACCCAAGAAGAAATCGAGCCACATTCACGAAATCCAGCAGGAATGTAGTCTGGTATCGTAAGTGAAATGTAGTCCAAGTAAGCTTTAGAGAAGCAAGTCAGTCGAACAGGATTATCGTCAGCCACATCGGTAGGAGGGATATAGTAGTTTCTTGGTGTTGGCGATAATGAATCGCCGAAGAAATAGTGTACCGTTGCGGATGGTCAAGGCTTCCCAGGAACACAAATGATAGCGAGAATCGCGGAGTCATAACAGCGACCATTTCCGCACCAATAACGTCGCTAGTATTTATTAGACGCTATTTACCACATTCCAGGCATCCAGTGGTATTAAAAGATATCATTCGAAGACGACTGGCTGACGCTGGTATATGCTCCCGACGTACCCCAGACTCACATCATAGGCAGTGTCGATTGGATTTTTGCCGAACTCGAGCAAGCTGGAGTGTGACCGGCTCGAAGCTTATAGTTTTTAGCGATGAATCCCCGATTAACCCTCAATGCTGACACACAAGCGTGTGTAGGCGGCCAGGCCAACAGTCGAACCGACATTTTTTACCGAACGCCATACGGCGAATGCACAAGGTGTGACAGTGTGAGGGGGAAACGATTTGTTGGGACACATGATCACCTCTAATCGTCTTTCAAGCCACTATGACGGCTCGCATTTACGTGGACGATATTTTAACTCCGGTTTAATTCCCACGCTTACAAGTTGCCCAGGTGCCATTTATCAGCAAGACAACGCTCGTTTACATACTACGCGAATCTACCACTAATGTCTTCAAGGGTATGACGTAACTCCTGTGGCCTGTCAGGTCACCAGATCTCTCGCTAATAGAGCACGTTTGGGACATGCTTGGAAGGCAACGCAGCCGTCCCGGAATATTAGTTTGCAACTGGGAACTTCCCATTTGTAAACATTATGGCATGATCTTCCGCAGGAAGTCATAGGTGACCTATTTGATTCAATGCCACGCCATTTAAATGGCCAATTCAGATTCATTAAAAATGGCACCAATAGTTATAAGAAAAATGTAGACTATTATTTTGCGCTTCAAATTTAAAAAAAAAAAAAAAATTAATTGATCTTCATTACTTGTAACACAGAACATAATTATGCTGGATCATCAATAATAACACTCCTGTAATTAATACCGTTCAGTCTATTGACATACAAAATATCAACTAAAATCTTTGAAAACTTATATACTTCGCTTCCATCTGAAGAAACATATACTACCATATATTTCATCTATACTACCATGCAGTTCAACTTAAACAAAAATTGTAAATTGATCTTCAATACTTGTAACACAGGACACAATTATTGTAATTAATACCGTTCATTCTATTGACATACAAATTATCGACTGCTATGATTTTGAAAACTTATATACTTCGTTTCCATTAGAAGAAATCTATACTACCACGTATTTCATTTCGCTTACATGTAAAATTCATTAATGAAAACTGCTTACTTGGAAATCATCTCCCATAAGTTCATAGAGGTATTCTGTGTTCCTCATGTTTGGTTTCCTCTTTCCATTTAAATATCGACTTCCTCCTTCAGGTGGGACCTTTTTCGGCTTTCGTGTGAACGATTCTTCAAAAAAGTTGGGACCTTCTGAGACAACAGCAGGCGTTTGACTTGGTATGCGATTGGACAGAAAATCCTCTTCCGTATACTGACAAAACAAAACTTCAAAGCAGGTTAACCAAAATAGAAACAAATGAAACGATCTTTGCATTGCCATGTCGCCTGAAAAATAAAGAATAAATAACATAAAATACGCTGATAACAAAAGCCAAAATGATTTATTAGTGTATAAACAAGTGCAGGGGTGGATACAGTGGTCAGTGTTCTGATCGGCAGAGCCTACTTGCTTGTGCTGGTATCTTTTGGAAATTAGCCATTGTTCATCAAGACATAAGTGATGGCCGGCACCATTTACATCACAAAAAATGCAACTTTCATCACGATGCCGGGACGCTCATGTTAAAATCTTAATTTTAGTGAATAATCCTCGATCTACATAAAGATACCGGTATTGTTATGAATTTCAGTTTATAAGTTAGAGAAAACTTTTCCTATCAATGTGCCCTAACTTTGTGAGTTTCCCCTCAAGGTGTCCTACCTTTATAACAATTTCTCCATCCACCTATATGATAGTTTCTCCAGCACCTTTATTCAAATGAGCTGCTGTTTGCCATTCCCATGCATAAATGTGCCAGTACCGCTATAAATTCGACATTATTATGAAGTTCAGTTTGTAACATGAAGAAATCAAATTTCGTGGAGTTGCTGGTATCTTTCTATCAGAACATCTTCATTAGAAGTCTTGGGGGAAATCTCAAGGCGGACTTAATAGCCACCAGTGATAGCTCCTCAGGTAATTTCCGAACTCCCAACAGACCCTGAGTATTTACTTAAGATGCTAGAAAGTGCAATCTGTTTTTATTCATTACAATAATGGTGCAAACGTTTGAAAAAGGCCGATTTATTTCTTTTTCTCTGGTAAATTTAGCAAATAATTTTTTGGACTAATAGGATTTTATTTACAGCTTTCTAAAATTACCGTTTTTTTTTTAATGTCAGACATGAAGTATGATGGCCAAAAATTTCAATTTACTGAAACTCATATACAGATAAGATATTTCTGAGAACTTTAATAGCTTCTTCTGTTCATAATGGATTATTTAGGATGAAAGGGGTATTTAATCTGAACTCTATAGCAATCTAGATTCAAGAAACAGATTAAGACCATTTTTACGCCAAATTTAAGTGCCATTTTATCTTGCATTTATGTCATAACAAAAGTTGAATTCTGAAAAATATTATAAAAAGAATTCCACTTTAGAAATTTGCCTGTGAAAACAAGTGTCTCATCTGAATGCTTAATTTACAATAAACTTTAAATTCGAATAGAAGGGATTTATCAGTTAGATATATTATATTATTACAGCCTATTCCAGTGCTTAATTGCGCCGGAGCCCTAAATAAGATGAGCTCCGGTACTTCTTTTTACAAAACTGAACCACAGTTTCAAGGAAAAAAATTTAGAATTCGTAACGTTTTAGTTTAACAATAAGCAGACCTTGCAAATACTGTATTTCCCTAGAAATACAAACTCATGAACATGAGACGTTCAATTAAAGTCCCCTTACTCACATGCGGAAACCTTTTCCTTTAAGAAGGGCAATAAATTTACGAGAGTTTGTTTAGGGACGCGTAAATTTCTCGCCATTCCATCGTATCTAGCGATCAAGCACGTCCTATACTATCGTCTTCCCACAGTATCCACTAATGCAACCAAATACGGGGGGGGGATGAAAGTGTAACCAGAAACTTAACGTTCATTCATCAAAACGAGAACGAGACAAAATGTAGTATAGTTTGCATTACTTTATTAGAATCCTACAGTATGTAACATAGTGCAGCCTAAAGTATGCTTTATTATTATGAAATTTATCAATTAAAAAGTGATCCTATTTACATAATTTGCACGAATATCCTGTATTATGTATAAAATTCGCTATTATGCGTGGTTTTACGATTCTGTGGTAAACCTTGGAACGTACTACCCGCGAATACCGAGGCACGATGTATAAGTTGTTTTCTTTTAAATCAAATGACATAATATGTAATATAATGACATAGTGGCATAGCATGTAATGACATAATATATAATGAAAAAAAAATGTCATAATTTCAAGTAACTGAAGCCATTGTTAAAATATTATATTGTTGCAAAATCAGGTCGTTTTCCGAAGAATCGTTTTATATAACAATACGGTAGGATTTAAAATCCCCTCCCCCATAAACACACAATAAAAAATACTTTAATGACTTGTTACATATACAGCTATTCTGGTGTTGCGTTCATGGTTTATTATCTTAGACAGAAATATAACGTTTGAGCTTTTTAGCCCAAAGGGCTATTAATTTCGTTTTGGCATTTTGCGTCGAAAACTTTAAAAATCTGAATCACTTTTCATATTGCTGCCACCAATATTATCGCCCTCTATTATATTTTAAAAAATTAAATTATGAAAAACCCGCATAAATGTATATATATTTCTCGCATTGTGATAAAACAAAGATACCTAGAGCCATCCAATATGGAATGAGGTACATCTGCACCTGAATATGGGCATTTGGAAGCCCAAATTTTGAATTTGTTTTATTACCTATTTCATATTTTGTAAAGCATATATCAGTTTTTGATTAGGAAACTGAACGATTTTAAAGCGAGCAATGGTAAAACTGTACGGAGGGGGACACATTTTTATCTCCAACGTGCGAGACTGTGTATCGAGAAATCTAAAGATACGCTCTTAAATTACTCGTATTTTGCGATACAGCTGTTGAATTGAATTTTATAGTTTAAGTGCGAAGAACATGCTAATTAATAAATACAGGTGACACACAGAACGTTAAAAAAACGCCCGTTCGGGGGTAATATAAAATCTGAAAGTATATTTCAGACTTTTTAAAAAAAATATTTTCTTTTAAATTTTATTTCTTAAAGCTTAACATCAGAAGTTGTATTATTACTTATTATCCACTACACAAAATATTTGTTTCTGATAAACATTTTTTTTTCATGGCATTTAAAAGTATCAAACCTATGCAACTATACGTAGATACTTATCGTCCGATAAATGTAAATATTATCTCAGAGAATTAGAAATTTTTAAAAATTCCTGGAAACTTACAGTTGAGAAGGGAAATCTCTACGTCATATATAAATTAAATTTTACATTAATAAATTTATTTCGTATTATACAGTTATATTCAAAACATCAGAGATGTTACATAACAAAAATTGTTTCTACTTATTTATTAGTTAATCCTTAAGTTAAAATTAAGTTATTAATTAATCCTTAAAATTATTATGACATGACCTTTATTCTTAACAAAATTAAGCAAGCATTATTCTGAATCATACAAATTAAAAATAGCCCAAGGGCAAAACAGAAAATCAGACTGCGTGACACATTAAAGACACAGGACAAATAACTTGATACTTACCGTAAATGTTTTATAGAAATCCCTAGGTGTTTAAAACAACCCCGTTTTGGAAGACAGATCGGAAGATATGGGAACGTATTCAAATAAAGGCATGGTAAGGGGCACCCTCACTGGAGAAGACAGATATTTATGATGCAGGCGGGCTCCGTTGCTTGGTACAACAGCTGCATTGAAATGCGGAATGATCCCTGCACTGTTATTTCCGAAGCACTTTTAATTGGGTAAACAGCAGTAGAGTAAATTGCTTTCGCTGACAATCTGTTTCGTTCGTTTTACTTGCATTTACTTCAACGCATTTCTCTCGAGATATATAACATGTGTGAAACAGATTTTTAGAAATACTTGTTATTGAAAATTATAAAATGTCCAAACGTAAAATAAATGATTATTTGGAATGTAATCGAAAGGCCATAGTAGGTAATATTATTAATGCGAATTTAGCTATTGCAAATGATGATTATGATATGAAGATGACTCGTGATACAGAAGATACAAAGATTATAGTTTTTACGTTTTTCCGAAATCGGAACTAAGTATAGGAGAAAGCAGTTTTGCTGACCAGCCAAGCTGCTGGTAAACTCAACAAGGTATAAAATTTAAGCAAAAAAAACGACTGGTTAATTTTCAAGAATAAAGAATTAGGATGTCGATGGTGTCCATTAGTGTCACACTTAGGTGTTATGAGATTCCAAGGTTTGAACACTCCAGTCGATAACAATTGGGCCAGTGCAGAGCATAAATTGCGCCGGCTCCGGTACTTCTTAGTTTCTGGGACACAGAGCTTAAATTGCGCCAGAGCCCACCGGAGCCTGGCTCCGGTACTTTTTGGGATAAATCATAATTCTAGACTGAGCGCACCAGAGCCCTACATAAGAAGGCTCCGGCACTTCTTCTATGTAACTGAACAACAATTTCAGTAGAAATCTGATCCCGAAAATTTTATTTTTAGCAATAAAATTATATTAAAAATCACTTATTTTAATTTACCTCTGTACATTTTATGTAATTTTAATCATTTTATTATTTAATTATTTTGAAGAAATTTTAAAGAATATTAATTAATCAATTATTCATTAATTGAATGACAATTATTAATTAATTAACAATAGAAATATTTATCATTCATATATAAAGTATTTCTCCTGCTTTCCTAGCGTGCCTTCGCCTGGGCCGGTATTCCATAGGTCCGTGGTTCGATTCCCGGCGAAGGTGGTTGCTAATTTTTCATCTCTCTGGCTTTCCCAATTACCTTAATGTCTCTACAAATTCGTAATTATTATTTATTCTGGTAGTATTTAAATTTTTAATTATGATTTTAATGGCCATTTTATTTATTTATTTATTCTTGCTCCTCTTTCTTGGAGGTCTTGCATAGAGCTCCCGCATTTCTAATTTTAGAAATTAAGCCCTGCTGGAACATATTCTAATTCTATACCGAAAGTGCACCGGATTCCTAAATAAGAAGGCTCTGACGCTCCTTTTATGTAACTGAACAATTATTTCAGTGAAAATTTGATCTCGAAAATCTCATTTTTAGCAATAAACTTACATTAAAAATTGCTTATTAAATTTTAATTTATCTCTTTACGTTTTATTTAATTTTAATCATTTAATGAGTTTAATCTTTAATTATTTTAATAAATAATAATTAATTAATTATGAATTAATTAAATAATAACCAATAAATATTAATTATTAATATCAATTAAGTCATTACTGATTAATTTGATACTCAACTATATAATTTTTAAATTATTAATGATTTTAATAGTCATTTTATTTATTAACTCTTGTTTCTCTTTTCTGAAGGTCTTCCATAGGGCTCTGGCACCTCTACTTTTAGAAATTAAGCCCTGGCCTTTATTAAAAATAAAATAAATGCATAATTTTTTATTCCAGTTTCTGGACACTTATTTGCTTAGCATTCGGAGGAATGGCCGAACCTGTCGAACATTTAACCATTTCATCAGTCAGATTGTTGCCCAAGGTATACTACAGGGAATGCAGCGATAATACACTCGCGAGAATGGAGATGCCGTAACTGCGAACATCGCTGCCTTGTCCAGGATTCGAGCCCGAGGCTAACGATATGGCAGCTGGCGCAACTAACCACTAAACCGAACTAGACGGCATAATAGCAAATCCCCGTATTGCTTTAAAATACCTAATATGTTAAGCAGTGCATAATTATAATATTTTATAACATGAATTAAAGATCATACGTTGAACAGCAACCTAGAATAACTTAATTTTGCAAGCTGCGTGAATGATAAATATTCTGGTACAGTAACGTAAAACACAAATGGGTAGGTTAATTTACAGGCACCTTAGCGAAAACTGCGTCAAATTAAACAAAACAAAATTGTGTGAGTATTTGAATAATTTCTTAATTAACATAAGATAATTTTTAAAGGTGCTTATTTTTTACTGGATACATATATTTACTAGTATTTCATATAATTAATTATTACATGCTTGATAGTAAAAACTTTTTAAGTTCTAGAATACTTTCATTTTGTAAGAAATATTTTCGAGAAAGTAATGTTAAAAAATTATTACACTTAAGATTTTAAGATAGAAATATTAGATTATTACAATTAATATTTTAGTAACAAATTAATGCCACGTTTCCTGTACACATTTTAGATATATCTAGGTGAAAATAATATAAATATATAGCATAGTTAAACGTAAATTTTTTGCGATTATAATACCTCCTTTACTTCGCATAAGGGAGTAAAAAGATCGTGGCTTATACATTTGACGATGCAATTAAGCTAATAAAAAATTTGAAAATGCAATGTCATATGCAATTCATTTAACAGATTTCATTACACGCCCCACGCTTTTATTACTGGAGTAAAATATTTTTTTAATGATGGACTGATTAGATTTTTATAATGATAGACTAATTAGAATTTCCTAATTTTAACAAAAATGATAGTCGAAACGCTGACAATCTGTTCATTTGTAGGCATTTGCAGTATTTCAACAACAACGAAAAAAAAAAAAAAAAAAAAAAAAGAATTTTCTAATAATAACAGGTAGAAAATATTTAAAAGATAAAGTATTTATTATTTAACCATTTAAGTTTTAACAACAGAAAAATGCTGTGATTTCATCTCGAGGATTATGCATATAAATATGCAAAGTAAACCTTAATTTTTTCTCAACAAGTTAATATTAAGATGCTCAAAAGTTCCCATTTAGGGAATGTTTCAGATAAATTAAAGATGAAAATTAAGTAATATATTTATATGTCTAGTTACATTAAAAGCTACATTAAATTGGCAATTGATTATCATTAAGAAGATTATCATTTTTTTTTTTTTTAATTACAAAAAAAGATTATCATTAAGAAGATATACCAGGACTTAATTTCTAAAATTAGAAGTGCCTCAGCTGTGTAGAACTCCATTAATAAAAGTTATAATTTAAAAAATATAAGCAGCATAATGAAAATAAAAATTAAGATATAATAACAATAGTTAACTAATAAATTATAACACAACAAGTTAATCGTATTTTGCTGCTCCAGCGGGAATTACAATTTTACTCAAAAACTACGAAGTATCTGGACTTGCTTAAAATATATCATTTAAAAATGCAGATATTCAGAAATTAAAATACTACTACGCCACAAACAAAAAATCACTTAGTCCTATCTATTAATAAAATAAAAGTATAAGATATTAATTTCAAATTCAAGAACTTAAAGGCATGCATAATTACACAGAAAAGAAAAGATATAAACTCATGAAGGGAAATTTAATTTCGCTCACGAAACTGACACTGAATTTTCTTGTGTTTTAAACCCATCCAAAACAAGAGAATGTCAGTTATATTTTCAAACAAAAATACAAATACAAACAAACCCACCGAAAAAAGGATCATATTCACAAAGCGGAGTTCAAGAACGATATTTCGAAAGTAACAATCGGCATCACTTACCTCGTTGTTAGGACGATGTGTATCACGCTGAGAATCCAGTTGCTCTCAAAGTCGACATAGAGCGCTTGAACATTCTCCCAGATATAATGGGGGTAACAGACTACAGATTTTTCAAGTAGAATAAGGGGGTTGTTAAGTGACAATAAGGTAAATTTTTCTCACAAGCTACAAGTATTTTTCCCTTTTTAGGGAAAATAGCGGTAGCATGTGGGTCTAAACGGAAACGGACACTTAATCTAGAGCGATGCAAGTAGTTTTCGAATTACGAAGACTTTCTTTAAGAAGACTAAAAATTACTATTTTAATTTATTAATTTAAGTGTACCACGAGCATATAAATATATACACGAATTTTTGGATTTCAAAAAGGTCTGAAGCATTTACTAAACTAAATCGAGTGTTCAGCTACTCGAAAATATTGCATCAAAACAACAATCGTTTCTTCATAGCCAAGAAACGCATTTGAGGGTAAAAAAAAAGGGGGAAAGAAAAAGGTAACATTTACGCATATTTTAGATTAAAGAAACTGTTCCTAATTGTAGCCCACCAGCGAACGAGTAGAAAAGTTGCTGAACACTGGTATTTAGGTCAGATGTTCGAAACCCGCGAAAAGGGTGACTGCGTGAGCGTTTTTGTGTTTTTTTCCATGTGTAACGTGTATACGAGCGAATTCCCTTAAAAATCCTCCACGACGGCACCCTCGGTAGCAAAGTCTCGAGGGCAGTTGCTGTAATCGCATAAAACGAAACCGTTCTCAGTTGCAGTGGATAATCCATACACATAACAATTACTCGTCTGTTATTTTTAATTAAACACATCGTTTTATGTGTTTTGTTTATATTAACCAATTTACAGTGAGAATACGTGATAATTTCACAAACTATGTATGTGCATACTGCATATATGTATGTGTTCGAATAAATTATTTAAAATGTCAACGTTAGCTTATACATTCTTAAAACCCCTTTCGTGTTAAATAAAAGAATAATTTATATATAAAAACATTGTCAAAGATATGAAAAATAATTTAAGTACCCGAGTTCAGAACAGACTTGCGGCCAAGACCAAGTTCAGAACAGACTTGCGGTAAAATCGCTGATACAGCACTCGTTAGTCGATGATTACATGTAGTTAATTTTACAATAATACTGGAATCAGAAATGCTTCATACTAGGATCGGGG